ATATATTTCTGTAAATGGAGATTCATATTCTCCACCTCTATCACTTCTGATCATTTTGATCTTTCTATCCAACTAATTTTCAACTTTAGTTTTATATTGCATAAATGCATCTATTGCTTCATCCTTACCATTTAGCAAATAGACATAACAATATCTAGTGCAATCGTCAATAAAAGCTATGAAATACTTTTTCCCACCACGTATTGGTGTTGACTTCATGTCACAAATGTCTATGTGAATCAGTTCTAACGGATATGAATTCCTTTCAACAGACTTATAAGGATGCTTAGCATACTTAGATTCAACGCAAACTTGACATTTTGATTTATTGCACTCAAATTTAGGAAAAATATTTAAGTTAATCAGTTTTTGCAAGATTTTGTTATTAACGTGTCCCAAACGTTCATGCTATAAACATTTAGACTCAAGAAAGTAAGAAGAAGCAGAATCTTTATTCATATCAATTGCAATTACATTGAGTTTAAAGAGGCCCTCAGTGAGGTAACATTTTCCTACATACATCTCATTCTTACTCACTACAACTTTATCAGATACAAATACACATTTGAATCTGTTCTTAGTCAGAACCGGTATAGAAACTAAGTTCTTGCGCAATTTCGAAAACGTACGAGACCCTGTTCAAAGTCACCACCTTGCCTGATGTCATCTTTAAGAAGACCTTGCATGTTCCTTCCACCTTTGCAACAATGCAGTTTGCCATAAACAATTTCTCGTCTGCTGCTGCTGGAGTATATGATGCAAATAATTCTTTGTTGGCACAAACATGACATGAGGCGCCATAATCTATCTACCATTCTCTTGGATTTCCAACCAAGTTGCATTCTGAAAGCATTACACAGAGATCGTCCATCTCTCATTTGAATTCAACCAAATTTGCTTGATCCTTTTTCTTGTCCTTCTTGGGACCCCGACATTCAGTAAACTTATGGCCACGTTTGCCACAATTGAAGAAGCTTCCATTGAATTTTTTCTTAGGAGGATTGCTCTTTGGACCAGATGTTTTCTTTCTTTTCTTTGATTTTATGAGATCTTCTTCAACAATATTTACTCCAGATATAGCTGAATTACCACGTGACCTCTTTTCTGCGGCCTTGTTATCCTCTTCGATTCTCAGCCTTACCATGAGATCTTCAACAGTCATCTCCTTGTATTTATGTTTCAAGTAGTTTTTGAAGTCCTTCCACAATGGAGGTAACTTCTCAATAATTGCAGCCACTTGAAAAACATCTTTCACAACCAATCCTACAATAAAGATTATGTGAGTATTAAGAATAGACTTAATATTTCCAACATAGGTATTAACTAAATTTATACCTTCAACAAGGAGATCATGGATTATGACCTGCAATTCTTGAACTTGGGTGACGATAGTCTTACTGTCTATCATCTTATAGTCCAGAAACTTTGTCACAATGAACTTCTTCATTCCAGTATCCTCTGTTTTGTACTTCTTTTCAAAAACATCCCAGAGTTCTTTTGAGGTTTTGACATTACTGTACACATTGTACAGATCATCTTGCAGGCCACTCAGAATATAATTTTTACACAAAAATCTAAATGTGTCCATGCTTCTGTTACCAAGAATCGTTCTTCAGGCGGAGTTTCATCCGACATAACAGGAATGTTCTCATTAATGAACCTCTGCAAACTCAACGTAATCAGATAGAAGAATATCTTCTGCTGCCATCTCTTGAAGTCGACTCCAGAAAACTTTGCAGGTTTCTCAGCCGGTGCTAGGGCAGTAGTTGAACGATTGTGCGCAACTGATGTTGTTGCAGCATTTACTTGACTTGAATTAGTCATTTTTCTGTCACAAATGGCAGACAATTTTAGTATGTGAAATATTAACAGTAAAGAATAAATCCTTACACAGACTGTGTCTGATTTAACGATAAAGTTTTTATGTTCTTCTAATCGTTAATCGAATGAATTTTAAAAATTCAAACAGAGTAGAAAATCATAAAGGTTTTAATCTCCAGAAACCTCAAAAACAGAAACTATTAAATTTTTAAAGATTGTTATCTCCTGTATTCAGGTTAGTCAAAAATACAGAAACAGAGAAAAGAAAAAAGATGAAATAGACAGAATGCTTTTAATTCGAGTCCACAGAAATTTAATCCCCTCACTGTACCCGAGGTTGCAGATTAATTCCTTCCAAGATAAAACGGATTAACCCTGTTAGAGAAGTAGTGGTACCTCAAAACTTCAATAACTTCAACGAACGCAAGAACAACAACAAGAGCACACACAGACTCAATCGATCGACAATTTTTGTTTATGTAAGAAAATGTATGCAGAGAGGAAAAAAATTTCAGTGTCTAAAAAATAGAAAAAGACCTCTTATTTATAGCTATTTACAGCAAGGAACGCGTCTGTTCAGATAAATCTGTTCAGACCCATTTTTTCCAGAACGTTGTGTCTTTTGGAAAAAGTAACGACTTTTCGGAAGGAGAAAATGAATTAACAAGATTGATTAAATAAATTTTGTCCAAAAATATTATCAATCAATCATTTGTCGAAGCCGAGGCCGAGCGAGCGACGGCGACGGCGCTAGGGGGCACCTTCTTTTTAACCCTTTAAGAACTAAAGGAAGTGCTTCCTAGTATAAGGACAACAATTTCCTTTCTTCTACCAATATGGTAAAAATGACTTTTCATTTTCCCTCCAAAATTGGTTCCCCCACTTTCCATTCTCTCTTCTTATTTCCCATTCACACCTTGCTAAACCCAACAATATATTGTTTATACAGCTTTCCCATAAAAAAAATGAATTGACGCAATTATCAATTAATTTTAGTCACTGATTTCATTAAAAATGTTTAGTCTACAAAATAAAGTTCATTAAAAATGTTTAGTCTACATAGCTTTCTCATACACCATAAAAATTAATTAGTGCCAATTATAAGGTAATTTTAGCCACGAAATTGAGGATATTGATGATAATAATTTTTCTCGCTACTTTTTTTGAAAATTTATGACAAATCATTATTTATCTTTAAATTCGTGTAAGTTGTGGATACAAAAAGGCTTCGTCACAAAAATTTATGACAAATCATTATTTATGACTAGAGGTCTCGAGTTTGATTCCCTTTGGATATAGAGTCGTTGCCTTTGTTAGGGAGCGCTTCATCTCCAATGTGTGATTTTCCAGCGCAAATCCGACTTTAATCGAGACTCCAATATGAATACCGAACACTGAATTGAAAAAAAAAAAAACTTATATTACACACTCATCTTGTACATAATTAATATCAAGGTTATGCTCCCCTTCTACATATTGTAATTCACAATTAATAGCAATAAATTTTTGACTTCGTTCGATTTTTTTTAACAAAAGAGTCGCCATCCAAATTATCTAATTCGAGACCATTTCTTAAGAAGTTTCTTATTATAATTGCATGGAAGTTTTCTCTAAATAACCATAAATAACTAATAACTTAATAAGTATCTTAAATAAGGTCTTGATTAACTAGTCGCGTGAAAATCAACTTGAGATTATTTTAGCCTATTCCAAACGAATACGTCGATGGAGTATTTTGGATGACCCGTATATAGTGACCTATATATATATATATATTTTAATCATATCATATACCTATCATTTAACAAGTCAGATCTTTGATTGAATTAAATGAATTATATATAATTTAATTATCTAAACTAATATCGACAGTTCTATAATAAGATAACATTGTCTAATTAGCTTAATTATAATTAATAACTCATGTATGTTTGGTCGATCGTACTCAATATTGCACCTTTTTCCTTGTCTTTTTTTAATTAGAACACTTCTTATTTTATGCATAATCAATTTGTGGGATAAGACGAGTGCCATCACATCAATTTTTGGGTCATGACAATTACTAGTTGATCAAACTGATTTATAAAAATAAAAAGAAAAGTTTATTTATGTATTTGTAAATATCAAAGTGTTTATAAGCTAAGTTGCTTATTTATGCCAATTTAGTTATATACGATAAATTAATCATTCCTAACTTATGAGGTTTTTTAGCTTATCAACATTTTTTATTTGACCAGTTTTTTAATTAATTTATCAAACTATCAAATTAATCAGCTAACTCTATTACTCTAGGAAATCAAACAATCTTTTCTCTACTAAGATACTATTATATTTTAAAATATTTTATATTATACAAATAATAATATTTTTTGTAATTTTTTAAATATATAAATTTTATTTTAAAGATATTAAAAAGTAGTAACCAAATTAAAAAAATATGCGTTGACCGTTCTGCTCCAATTTCCATTAATTAATATTGTCACTATTTGTTATAATCACCAAACACTAGACTGAATAATATTGACTTAATCTTAGTATTTTACTAAATATAGTATTTTACCAAATATAGTATATGAAGATGATCATGACTACTTTAAGAATAACTTATTTACTGATTGATTGCTATATGCTACGTACGTATACTTTGCCATTGTCAATTTTGAAATGTTGACATCGTGGGAGTAACTTTCCTTTTATTGTATTGTTGCCTATTTGTATTGTATCATATTATGACTTTAGATATAATATTTATGTTCATTGTTACTTCTTCTTTCTTAAAATATAATTTGTGTGTAGAGGTATGGGAAATGAAGGATGGGATTGGGGATTCAAATCCTCACTAACAAGGTGAAAGTTCAGGTTATCAACCAACTGGTATTAAGATTCATCTGTAAATTGTTAGTGAGATTCTATGGTATCTTATCGTTAAATTTGTCATCAATTTTATCTATATAATGATTGATTTAGTGTAATCGATAAGCCTCGCCTAAATGAATCGATATAAAGATGACGAAATAAGAAACAAAGGACAAATTAAGATCGAAGAGAGTACCATAAAACTGTAATATAGTAGTAATAAATTATTTTTATTGATCTCATAATTAATCTCTGCATTTTGCAAGGAGATTGAAACTGAGCAAACATACACAAAGACATAAAAGTAAAAATACAAATATAAATAATAGAGTACAAAAACAATATCACTAACTTAGATAACATGGAGCTACAAAAGAACTTCGCTTTCTGTGGGGCTTATTGTTTACTATAATTTAATGGAAAATGGAAAAATGCCTTCCTTTCAGCTCAACATTTGCTGTTCCTGCATAAGAATATAATATTGTGAATGAGAACATATAGTAGAAGCTAACCAAATAAGAAGTAGACAACATAAGTTTTTATATTGATGTTTTGTATGAAGAAATTGTGTAACTTATTATTACATTGCATTTTAGTCATATGTTTTTGAAAGTTTAAGTTTATATTAATTACCTCATAGATAATGAAGTCACTTCTTAGTAATGGTGGGGAGGAGGGGGAGAGGAGTAAATATAGTGGGGTGGTGGAGACTTGTAAACGGGAGTTGGGGGTGGTGGAGACTTGTATACTGGTGCAGGATGGTATGGCTTCACTGGTGGTGGTGGTGACTTGTAAACAGATGTTGGGGGTGGTGGTGACTTGTAAACTGGAGTCGGTGGAGGTGGAGACTTGTATACTGGTGCAGGATGGTATGGCTTCACTGGTGGTGGTGGTGACTTGTAAACAGATGTTGGGGGTGGTGGTGACTTGTAAACTGGAGTCGGTGGAGGTGGAGACTTGTATACTGGTGCAGGATGGTATGGCTTCACTGGTGGTGGTGGTGACTTGTAAACAGATGTTGGGGGTGGTGGTGACTTGTAAACTGGAGTCGGTGGAGGTGGAGACTTGTATACTGGTGCAGGATGGTATGGCTTCACTGGTGGTGGTGGTGACTTGTAAACAGATGTTGGGGGTGGTGGTGACTTGTAAACTGGAGTCGGTGGAGGTGGAGACTTGTATACTGGTGCAGGATGGTATGGCTTCACTAGTGGTGGTGGTGACTTGTAAACAGGTGTTGGGGGTGGCGGTGACTTGTAAACTGGAGTTGGTGGTGGCGGGGACTTGTATACTGGTGCAGGATGGTATGGCTTCACTAGTGGTGGTGGTGACTTGTAAACAAGTGTAGGGGGCGGTGGTGACTTATAAACTGGTGCAGGATGGTATGGCTTCACCAGTGGTGGTGGTGACTTGTAAACCGGAGTCGGGGGAGGTGGAGACTTGTAAACTGGGGTGTGTGGAGGATAGTATGGCTCCTCGGGTGGTGGTGGTGACTTGTAAACTGGAGTTGGTGGTGGTGGTGATTTGTAAACTGGTGCGGGATGATAAGGTGTTGGTGAAGGGTGGTATGGCCTCTTTGGTGGTGGGGGAGATGAGTATTGATAATTAGCTGAGCTTTCGGAAGCTAAGCTAAGTGACACTAAAACAACTAAAAGAGTAGCAACAAGAGAGGCCATTTTCCCCATATTTGAAACGAAGAAGAGAAGTTGTTGTGCTCCTAAGCTTCACTCAAACCTCTTTATATAACTTTCATTTCGACAATTACCCTTACCAAGATTTACATAAATGTAGGTAAAATGTTAAGAGTTTTTATGCATTTTGATAATTGGTTTTGTCATGGTGTTGGATCAATTTGACTTTATTTTATTGGATAGAGGCTGCAAGCTAAGCAAAAATGTATAAACAATTAAGACAACCATACTATTTTCTTTACATCTTGTGATGCAATAATTCAAAGAGCTACAAAGTCTTCTTTTTCTTCCAAGCTTTTACATTACATGCTTACACAATCTTTGAAAAAAATGCGTGCATCCCTCAACTTCGCACGATTTTTTAGTTACAAAAATCAGTGTACTCTGCTTTTTATTTCTTTTTTTTTGTTACACTAAATATTTGAAGAATTTTATTACTTTCCGTCCCATATTAGTTGGTCATTTTTATTAACTAGATAATTTTATTAATTCACCTCTAGAAAACTTCTTGGAAATTTTACAAATAAATGTGAACACTGTCAAAAGGAATTAATTGCAAGGATAATATAGGAAAAAATTAATTATTGCTTTGTTGATTCAGTAAGGTGGATAACTAATGTGTGACAACTATTTTTAGTAAGACGATCAACTAATATGAAACGAAAGGAATAATAATTTTTGTGGATTCTGATTGATGAACTAACCTTTAATTACCTAAGTGCTTAAATAGTTTAGAGATTTAGAGAAATTTAATACAATAATACATATATATCATATGGAACAAATGATAGATTATTGTAATGTTAAAGAGTTTAATGATCTAGAGAAAAAGGTGACCCACTTTCATTACCAAATTAAACAATTAATGTTGTTCTTTCTTTTTAGTTTTAGTGGGAATAGAGGGCAAAAAATTCAACGGATTATGTAGCTCAATATTGAAAAAATTATATGATTAAATATAATATCTATGAAAATTTTGGTATCTTAGTTTGTTATCATGGGAACACACAAGATGTAGAATACAGGTCACGATAGAAATAAAAAATTACTTTATTTTAGACTTTATTGAGAGTTTTTGGAAAGACTTAGGTACGTCAATGTACTCAAATCACTTGAAAATAATTCCTAAATTTCAAGAATCAACCTCAAAAACTAATTGAATTTTGTGAAACTTTAAAGGTACATTATGTTACTTCGTATCGTTGAAGTTAATATTTTGGTAGTATAATTAATTAAATTACATGATTTGATTTAATTACTTAATATATAATTATAGTTTAATTACTCCATTGCATAATTTATCTACTACCTCCGTCCCATTTTATATGTCATCTTTCGGATTTCAAGAGTCAAACAAGTCTATCTTTGACCGTAAATTTTTCATAGATCTTTTAAACATTTTGAATTATCAATTATTGTGACTCATAGTACTTTTACATAGTTTACAAATATATAAATTTCATTTCAAAAAAATTGAAGATTCCATGCGTAAATTTCCGGTCAAACTTTAACTGTTTGACTCTCAAAACATAAAAGGTGTCATATAAATTGGGACAGAGAGAGTATTGTTTAGTATTTGTATTTGAGCACGACTAATTCAAATGCGTGTTAGATAAGGCCATTCTAATAACGCTTATGTTAGTTTTAAATGTTGGAATTTATAGTTGTTTTTGTAGTTCTCTTAAAATTTTGAAAATACGAAGTAAATAGAATTAAATGAATCGAGTCGGTTCAAGGCTTTATACTTTTCACTTTTATGTTTTTAAACTTTGAATAAATAATTAACATTATTGATTTGCACCATTACATCACCTTCTTTCATTTTCTCAAATTATTATACTCATTTACTTCCTCTTTTATATATTTCTTTTTATCTTTTCTCTACCTAACAAACTAAATACGTGCCTCTTTTTTCATTAGTTAAATGTTTATAATAAAAGAAGAAGAGAAGAAGCCGTCACGTTTTAGTTGTTGTGTTGCGTTTTTGAAAGTTAATTTGACTAATTTTTAAAGTTAAATTAAATTATATTAATTTGATATTTTAAACTAAAAATTTAGATATTCAAAAACTATACGAAAAATAATATAAATTGTAATTTTTTGCTTATCAATATGATGAAAAAATACATCGTAAAATATTAGTCAAAGTTCTTATTGTTTGACTCTAAAAAAGAAAACCATGACAACTAAAAGGAGACGGAAAAAGTATTCAAATACATGGTCGATTCTTGGTTCATCCATTAATGACTTTGACTTTTTAATTAGAAAAATAATTAATCATTTGTATAACTTAATCACCGGCAAAGGTAAAATTACTAAACTCCATATAAGATTCCATTAGTTAAGCGAAACTATTATTTTTAATCGTCCCATGAGATATGGATGTATATGTATAAACAAGTACAAACCTTAGCTACATTGACCTAGTCAACAATTAGTACAGACATATTTATTATAGACAAATATTTGTCCAACGATCGAGATCTTATGTTCTATTTTGTTTCTTCATTTTTTGGTTAAAAAAAAATTGTTTATAATAAAGTTGGAATAATAATAAGTTACAAATTTTATGATTTAAATGAAGTTTAATTAAATTTAGGTTAGTCCGTTAAGCTTACAAGTCTAGCCCAATCCAACTCATGTATCTCAACTCCAAAGTCGGCTAAAATGGCAAGGAGATCAAATATCTCAAACTCTAGCTGATGCCAATCTTCTGCATACAATTCTTTTTTGCCACCAAGAGGTGAGTCATTTTATACCTCCTCGAATGTGATCAAAACTTGATTCTGCATTCGTGGTAAACTTCCAACAAGTATTCCATCAATTCAGGTACAAAACAAAACTTTTGAGTTGACAGTCATGGAGAGAAAAAAAACAAAAATTACACATTTTAGTATAAAATTTTCTAAAGATTGTTAAATCCTGCACAAATAAATAAAATTAAATATTATTATTTACTCATATTTTTCTTTTCTTGATTATTATTTTTCAAAAACGAAAATTTAATCGTTATAATATGCCTTGAACAACCACAATCAGATACCAAATCAGTTGGTTGTTCATTCTTTTCTTTTTTTTTTAAAAAAGTGAAAGGTCTAACAATTAAATTTTCATCCCTGAAAACTAATAATCAAGATAAGAGAAATAGGACAAGTAATAATATTTAATTTCAATAATTTGTGTGGGTGCATTTACTTTTTCCTTTATAAAATTTTATATAAAGAAATGTAATTCTGTAATTTTTCTCCGATGGTCAATTCAAGAACTAATTGAAGGTACTAATATTCCCGATTGATTGTTACTTAGATTGGAGCTACTAATATAATTCCCAGTTGATTGTAATTTAGATTTTATTGTATCTTATCATTGAATTTATGACGGTTAAAAACCACATTTTTTATAGCAACTGATTTAATGTAATTGATGAGTGCCTCAACTTATAAATAACTCAATATAAGGGATGACAAAAATAAAAAAAAGGGCCAAAAGAAAGAGTAGAGAGAAGGGAAAACATAAAACCATTTAGTAATAACTTATTTTATACATCTCGTAATCTCTGCAATTTGCATGGAGATCGAACAAACATATTACACAAATAAATAGAAGTAAAATATAAATATAATATAGGGTACAAACAATAACTTATACAAAATGAAGCTAAAAAAGTACTTTGCCTCCTGTGTGGGCTTATTTTCTTTAGCTCAACATTCTGCTTTCCTGCATAAGAATATAATATTGTGAATGAGAACATATAATAGAACCTAAACAAAATAAGATGTAGACAGCATAGGTCTATATTAATGATTTGTACGAAGAAATTGTGCAACTTCTATAGACATATCATAACTAAAAGTTTTAATTTGGTTTTATTACCTCAGATATAATGAAATCTCTTCTTAGTAATGGTAGGGAGGAGGGGGAGAGGTGTAAAGATAATGGGGTGGTGGTGGAGACTTGTAGACTGGAGTTGGTGGAGGTGGCGACTTGTAGGTTGGAGTATGTGGAGGGTAATATGGTTCCTTGGGTGGTGGTGGTGACTTGTAGGTTGGGGTGTGTGGAGGATAGTATGGCTCCTTGGGTGGTGGTGGCGACTTGTAGACTGGAGTTGGTGGTGGTGGAGAGTTGTAAATGGGAGTTGGTGGAGGTGGCGACTTGTAGGCCGGGGTGTGTGGAGGATAGTATGGCTCCTTGGGTGGTGGTGGCGACTTGTAGACTGGAGTTGGTGGAGGTGGTGAGTTGTAAACGGGAGTTGGTGGAGGTGGTGACTTATAGATTGGGGTGTGTGGAGGGTAGTATGGCTCTTTGGGTGGTGGTGGTGACTTATAGACTGGAGTTGGTGGAGGTGGTGAATTGTATACGGGAGTTGGTGGAGGTGGCGACTTGTACACTGGGGTGTGTGGAGGGTAGTATGGCTCTTTGGGTGGTGGTGGTGACTTATAGACTGGAGTTGGTGGAGGTGGCGACTTGTAGACTGGAGTGTGTGGAGGATAGTATGGCTCATTTGGCGGTGGTGGCGACTTGTAAATAGGAGTTGGTGGAGGTGGCAACTTGTACACTGGGCTGTGTGGAGGGTAGTATGGCTCTTTGGGTGGTGGTGGTGACTTATAGACTGGAGTTGGTGGAGGTGGTGACTTGTAAATTGGAGTGTGTGGAGGGTAGTATGGCTCCTTAGGTGGTGGCGGCGACTTGTAAACAGGAGTTGGTGGAGGTGGAGACTTATAAACTGGAGTCGGTGGAGGTGGTGACTTGTAAATTGGAGTGTGTGGAGGGTAGTATGGCTCCTTTGGTGGTGGTGGCGACTTGTAAATGGGAGTTGGTGGAGGTGGAGACTTGTCGGTTGGGGTGTGTGGAGGGTAGTATGGCTCCTTGGGTGGTGGTGGTGAGTTGTACATTGGAGTATGTGGAGGGTAGTATGGCTCCTTCGGTGGTGGTGGAGAATTATAAACCGGAGTTGGCGGTGGTGGAGACTTGTAAACAGGAGTTGGTGGAGGTGGCGACTTGTAGGTTGGGGTGTGTGGAGGGTTGTATGGCTCCTTTGGTGGTGGTGGTGACTTGTAAATTGGTGTCGGGGGTGGTGGCGACTTGTACACTGGAGTGTGTGGAGGGTAGTATGTCTCCTTCGGTGGTGGTGGAGAATTGTAAATTGGAGTTGGCGGTGGTGGAGACTTGTAAACTGGTGCGGGATAATAAGGTGTTGGTGAAGGGTGGTATGGCTCCTTTGGTGGTGGGGGAGATGAGTATTGATAATTAGCTGAGCTTTCGGAAGCTAAGCTAAGTGACACTAAAACAACTAAAAGAGTAGCAACAAGAGAGGCCATTTCCCCCATATTTGAAACGAAGAAGAGAAGTTGTTGTGCTCTTAAGCTTCACTCAAACCCCTTTATATAGCTTTCATTTAGACATTTACCCTTACCAAAATTTATACAAATGTAGGTAATATGGTAGAGTCATGCATTTTGATTTGGTCTTGTCATGGTGTTGGCTCAATTTTGACTTTAGTTAATATATTTAAAATAATTTGATGGATAGAGGCATCAAGCTAAGCAAAGGTATAAACTATTAAGGGAACTATACTGTTTGTGACTGAATGATTCAAAGAGCTACAAAGTCTTGTTTTCTTCTCACAGAATCTTTGAAAAAAATTCGTGGATGCCTCAACTTTTCACTTAACCAACCTTCGCACAAGTGCTTAAATGGTATTGACGAATATAGAAATTTAAAACATTATCACATATTTAATAGAAATGATTTGTCAGAGACATCCTTTTGTAGCAAATTTATTGTTTAATAAATATGGATAAGAAGAATAGAATCCTAGACCTCTTCTAACTAAAACCTTGAATAAATCAACTATATATACAAATCTAATTAATCTTGTGTAGAAGTTTTGCTAATTGTAAATTATTAAGTATAGTTTTCCTCTATGACTAGGATGCTACATATGTTATCTACATTCAGGTTCTGAATTCACCTCTGTCCCCGCACTAATATATGTTATAAGAATAGATTATTTATTAAATAATATTTGATGTCAAGTTTTGTTAGGATTTGCTGTTGAATACTTTAGAATTCACTCAACAAGTTAATTAGTGAATAATAATTTGTTAGTTCAAGGGAAAAGGTAACCATCAGTACTATTAATATCAAACATTTTAGCATGGCTTGTTTGTGAATATATATATTTGACTTGTAATAAGTGTGACGGTCTAATCAATTGAGCACACCATATGAATCTAAATTAAGTGACCTGAAAAATACAAAATTCACTTTTAAAGAGTCTAAATTTTAAGTCATGTTGGTGATAAAATATTTCAGCAATTAAATCAATAATTATAGAAGAATTTTGTTAATAATAGTATTGTTTATTATCTAAATTAAATAAATAAAATTTTCTTTTTTTTCATAAGCTTTGTATCAAGTTGAACAGTATTACATAAGAGGAGAGAGCAATAAACCAAAGAAGTGCCTTTTTTTCACTTAAATATTTTTAAGTAAACAAGTAAAACTACTATTTAATAATTTATTTGGTTCATCCATTAAATTTGACATTTTAATGAAAAAACAGCTAATGATTAGCATCATAACTTAAACACCGACAAAGGTTAAATTACTAATCTCCTTAAAAGATTCCATTAGTTAAGCTAAATTAATATTGTTACTCCTCCTAAAAGATATGGATGTATAAACAAGTACAAATCTTAGTTACATTGACCTAGCCAAGAATTATTATTGCGGTGGTTTCTTATATTTTTTTGTTACTACATGAGTCGTGTAGGAAGCGTCACCCTTAAATGGTCTCTGGCCTTCAATTTGCAATCCAGATTTAATTAGAATTTAAATAGGGAATACGAACATCGAGTGGAAAAAAAATATTTTGATTATTTGCATAATTAATTGAGGAAGAGATGAAATCAGTTGGAGAATGATGGTTGAGAAGTGCTCACCATTTTCTTAGGCCTAAAGGTGGGTTTGATACGTGCATTTTGCACCAACATCACAAATTTAATCATCTTTAAATTTGGTTTTAAGTTTAAATTAAATCTTTGGTCACGAAATTTTTAGTTATGGTCGAAAATTCATCATTAATTATGCACTTTCTGTGACAAAAAATAATTTCGTACTCAAATGCATGCATCATGCATGAGTCACATATTTTTAGTGATGAAAAATAAATTTTGTAACAAATATGTTGTCTATAAAGCTTTTCCATAATTATTTTTTTTTATAAACAAGGATATTATATTAATAGCTAATATGCTTCATTACAGAGTAGTGGTTGCAAGGCCTGAAGTTGGGGGTGGAGACTAGAAGTAGTAACTATTACAATATTTCGTAATAGGCATTGAACTGATAATTAGATGAACAAAAAGAGTTTCCACTTTTATCTGCTTCCACTAGCTTTGAAACAAACAATGGTTGGACTTCCAAATAATGAATTGACGTCAATTATCAAATAATTTTAGTCACTAATTTGAAGATATTGGTGATAATATAATCTGTGTCATCCCTAATTTTGTTGATAACTTGTAACAAACCTCAAATGCATCGGCTACATACTTTTATTAGTGACAAAAATAAATTTCATTAAAAATGTTTTGTCTACAAAGCTTTCCCATGCACCATAAAAATTAATTATTGTCAATTATTAGGTAATTTTAGCCACGAAATTGAGGATATTGATTCTGATCATTTTTCTCGCTACTTTTGTTGAAAATTTATGACAAATCATTATTTATCTTTAAATTCGCGTAAGTTTTGATTAAAAAGGTTTCATCACAAAATTTATGTAATCGAATTAGCGATATAATAATATTCGTAGTGAAATGGTGTCAAATTTAGCTATTAACTATCTTTGAACTTTCTAATTTCTGTTGTTAGGAAAATGGGCTTTGCTCATGAGGTTTTTATTGAAATAGTTTATCGAATGCTTGCGAACAATTGGTACTCTGTGATCGTTAATGGGACAAGATTTGGTTTCTTTAAATTAACCAGCGGTCTAAAACAAAGTAATCCTTTATCTCCTGCTCTTTTTATTATTGCCGTTGAGACTCTTTCTATAGCCTTGAATTATTTGAATCATAATCAGAGGTTCACTAATTTCTCTATGCATAACAAGGGACCACTGATTAATCACCTTAGTTATGCTGATGATATTGTTTTGTTTACTTCTGGCGATAAGTGCTCGATTAAGCTTCTTATGAAACAATTGAATTTGTATCAACAAGCTTCAGGACAAGAGATTAATCAAGAAAAATCTTACTTTTTCCTTGACTAGAGGTCTCGAGTTTGAGTCTCTCTGGGTACAGAGTCGTTGCCTTTGTTAGGGAGCACTTTATCCCCCAATGTGGACTTTCCGGCGCAAATCTAAATTTAGTCGGGACTCCAATATGAATACCGGACACCGAATTGGAACAAAAAAAAACTAATCTTACACACTCATCTTGTACATAATTAATATCTAGGTTATGCTCCCCTTCTACAAATTGTAATTCACAATTAATAGCAATAAAATTTTGACTTGATTCAATATTTTTTTTAACAAAAGCGTCACCATCCAAATTATCTAATTCGAGACCATTTCTTAAGAAGTTTCTAGTTATAATAATTGCATGGAAGTTTTCTCTCAATAACCATTTATTATTTAATGTATTTGTATTAGTTAAATAACTAATAGCTTGATCAATATCTTAAATAAGGTCTTGATTAACTAGTCGCTATATATATATATATATATATAAATCATATCATATACCTAACATTTAACAAGTCAAAGCTTTGATTGAATTAAATGAATTATATACAATTTAACTATCTAAACTAATTAATATCGACAGCTCTATAATAAGATAGCATTGTCTAATTAGCTTAATTATAATTAATAACTCATGTATGTTTGGTCGATCGTACACAGTACTGCACCTTTTTCCTTGTCTTTTTTAATTAGAACACTTCCTCTTATTTTATGCGTAATCAATTTATTATTAGTTGATCAAACTGATTTATATAAATAAAATAAAGTTTATTTATGTATTAGTAAATATCAAAGTATTTATATAAGCTAAGTGCATATATAAGTCAATTTAGTTATATACAATAGATTAGTCATTCCTAACTTATGACTTTTTTTTTAGCTTATCAACATTTTTATTTGACCAATTTTTTAATTAATTTATCAAACTATCAAATTAATCAGCTAACTCACGCGGGCTCTATTACTCTAGGAAATCAAACAATCTTTTCTCTACTAAGATACTAATATATTTTAAAATATTTTATTTTATACAAATAATAATAACTTTTGTAATATTTTAAATATATAAATTTTCTTTTAAAGATATTAAAAAGTGGTAACCAAATTAAAAAGTATGCGTTGACCATTCTGCTCCAATTTCCATTAATTAATATTGTCACTATTTGTTATAAATTACCAAACACTAGACTGAATTATATTGACTTAATCTTAGTATTTTACCATATATAGTATATGAAGATGATCATGACTACTTTAGGAATAATTTATTTACTGATTGATTGCTATATGCTACGTACGTATACTTTGCCATTGTCAATTTTGAAATTTGTCTAATTTTATTGGTCACTCTAGCATACGTGTTGACATCGTGTGAGTAACCTTTTTTTATTGTATTGTTGTCCATTTGTATTGTATCATATTATGACTTTAGATATAATATTTATGTTGATTGTTACTTCTTCTTTCTTAAAAAATAATTTGTGGGAAATGAAGGACGGGATTGGGGATTCAAATCCTCACTAACAAGGTGATCGTTCAGGTTATCAACCAATTGGTATTAAGATTCCTCTGTAAATTGTTTGTGAGGTTCTATGGTATCTTAACGTTAAATTTGTCATCAATTTTATCTAGATTGATTTAGTGTAATCGATGAGCCTCGCCTAAATGAATTGATAAGATGACGAAATAAGAAAAAAAAAAAGACTAATTAAGATCGAAGAGAGTAACATAAAACTGTACTATAGTAGTAATAACTTATTTTATTCATCTCATAATTAATCTCTGCATTTTGCAAGGAGATTGAAACTGAGCAAACATACACAAAGACATAAAAGTAAAAATACAAACAATATCACTAGCTTAGATAACATGAAGCTACAAAAGAACTTCGCCTTATGTGGGGCTTATTATTTACTATAATATAACTTTCTTCTTTTTTTCATTGTCTCTTGAAAATGGAAAATACCTTTCTTTCAGCTCACCATTCTACTTTTCCTGCATAAGAATATAATATTGTGATGAGAACATATAGTAGAAGCTAACCAAATAAGAAGTAGACAGCATAGGTATATATATATTATAATGATTTGCATGAAGAAATTGTGCAACTTATTGCTTTGCATTTTAGACATATCATTTTAAAAAGTTTTAATTTGTATTAATTACCTCGATATAATGAAGTGGCTTCTTAGTAATGGTAGGGAGGAGGGGGAGTGTAAAGATAGTAAGGTGGTGGAGGAGAGTTGTAGACAGGAGTTGGTGGTGGTGGCGACTTGTAGACTGGAGTGTGTGGAGGGTAGTATGGCTCCTTGGATGGTGGTGGCGACTTGTAAACGAGAGTTGGTGGAGGTGGCGACTTGTAGGTTGGGGTGTGTGGAGGGTAGTATGGATCCTTTGATGGTGGTGGCGACTTGTAAACGAGAGTTGGTGGAGGTGGCGACTTGTATGTTGGGGTGTGTGGAGGGTAGTATGGCTCCTTGGATGGTGGTGGCGACTTGTAAACGAGAGTTGGTGGAGGTGGCGACTTGTATGTTGGGGTGTGTGGAGGGTAGTATGGCTCCTTGGATGGTGGTGGCGACTTGTAAACGAGAGTTGGTGGAGGTGGCGACTTGTATGTTGGGGTGTGTGGAGGGTAGTATGGCTCCTTGGATGGTGGTGGCGACTTGTAAACGAGAGTTGGTGGAGGTGGCGACTTGTATGTTGGGGTGTGTGGAGGGTAGTATGGCTCCTTGGATGGTGGTGGCGACTTGTAAACGAGAGTTGGTGGAGGTGGCGACTTGTATGTTGGGGTGTGTGGAGGGTAGTATGGCTCCTTGGATGGTGGTGGCGACTTGTAAACGAGAGTTGGTGGAGGTGGCGACTTGTATGTTGGGGTGTGTGGAGGGTAGTATGGCTCCTTGGATGGTGGTGGCGACTTGTAAACGAGAGTTGGTGGAGGTGGCGACTTGTATGTTGGGGTGTGTGGAGGGTAGTATGGCTCCTTGGGTGGTGGTGGCGACTTGTAGGTTGGTGTGTGTGGAGGGTAGTATGGCTCCTTGGGAGGTGGTGGTGACTTGTAAATGGGAGTTGGTGGAGGTGGCGACTTGTAGGTTGGGGTGTGGGAAGGGTAGTATGGCTCATTTGGTGGTGGTGGCGACTTGTAGGTTGGTGTGTGTGGAGGGTAGTATGGCTCCTTGGGAGGTGGTGGTGACTTGTAAATGGGAGTTGGTGGAGGTGGCGACTTGTAGGTTGGGGTGTGGGAAGGGTAGTATGGCTCATTTGGTGGTGGTGGCGACTTGTAGGTTGGTGTGTGTGGAGGGTAGTATGGCTCCTTGGGAGGTGGTGGTGACTTGTAAATGGGAGTTGGTGGAGGTGGCGACTTGTAGGTTGGGGTGTGGGAAGGGTAGTATGGCTCATTTGGTGGTGGTGGCGACTTGTAGGTTGGTGTGTGTGGAGGGTAGTATGGCTCTTTTGGAGGTGGTGGTGACTTGTAAACGGGAGTTGGTGGAGGTGGCGACTTGTAGGTTGGGGTGTGTGGAGGGTAGTATGGCTCCTTGGGTGGTGGTGGCGACTTGTAAACAGGAGTTGGTGGAGGTGGTGACTTGTAGACTGGGGTGTGTGGAGGGTAGTATGGCTCCTTGGGTGGTGGTGGCGACTTGTACAACGGAGTGTGTGGAGGGTAGTATGGCTCTTTGGGTGGTGGTGGAGATTTGTAAACCGGAGTTGGCGGCGGTGGAGATTTGTAAACCGGTGCGGGATGATATGGTGTTGGTGAAGGGTGGTATGGCTCCTTTGGTGGTGGGGGAGATGAGTATTGATAATTTGCTAAACTTTCAGATGCTAAGCTAAGTGACACTAAAACCACTAAAAGAGTGGCAACTAGAGAGGCCATTTTCCCCATATTTGAAACAAAGGAGAAAGTTGTTGTCCTCTTAAGCTTCACTCAAACCCCTTTATATAGTTTTCATTTACACAATTACCCTTACAAAGATTTTATAAATGTAGGTAAAATGCTAGAGTTATGCATTTTTATTTGATTTTGTCATGTTGTTTGCTCAATTTGACTTTAGTTTGTATATTTTATTTTATTTGATGGATAGAGGCATCAAGCTAAGCAAATGAATAAATTATTAAGGCAGCTATATTGTTTGTGATGCAATAATTCAAAGAGATTGAAAGTCTTCTTCTTCTTACATAATCTTACCAAAAAAATGCGTGGATGCCTCAACTTTGCACGATTTTAGCTTCATAAATTAATGCACTTTTTAGGTACGGAGGAAAATATCATCTCACATAAATAAGTTTCTTACTTATTTTTTAGTGTTCGATAAATAAGTAAAAATAATATTTCACATTCATATGTAAGCTAACAAAACATTACGAGGAGGGTGTAATATTCATCAACAACATTATTCTCAAACATTTTAGCATTGCTCATTTGCGAAAAATATATTTGAACTTGTCAAAGGTGTGATAGTCTAATCAATTGAACACACCACATGAAGCAACATTTAATTTTAATGAGCCTAAATTATATATGTCATGTTGGTGAGAAAATATGTATGCATTTAAATCAGTCATTAAAGATAAATTTAGTTTAATAATATTAATTGATATGTAAAATAATGCAAATGGCCTTTATAGTTAATGCAATCAAATGTAGTTGGTTTGTGAAAAGATTAAAAGAAAAGGACCGGAGTGACTAAATCAAAATTTAGGTTCGTTGATTGGTATGCTATTAATAATAAGAATACTAATTTTGAGATAAAATATTCAATCATTTATCGTTTGATTGAAACTTTAGTTTCTGAATATAAGTAATTTCAAAATTAATTATATCATAATTCTGTATAATTGTACCAAAGTTGTATATGGGATAGCAATCCTTGATTAATTAGCTAATTCCATGATAATACAACCAAACTATAAGTTCTTTAAGAAATTAAAGGTAAAATTAAAAATTAAAATTTGTCCAAATTTCATTAATACAAAATCAACTAATCAAGTAAAAAATTCTATATTATACCGTATATATCTTATTTCCAATTCAATGAACACCAAATGTAGTCATGATAAAAGAATTTAATATTATCTACAAAAACATTAATTATTATTTCAGTTTTTATAATATAATTCACTCATTATAATCAATCAAATTGACCCCTAAAGGAATTGGAAAGTTAAATATTTAGGTCCCAATACTGAACAAATTTTGCCTAAATTTAATGCTAAAGATTAATACAATGAACTGGGTAGCTAAGATGGTGCCACTTATTAATAATTTGGTGGATGAAATGAATGAATTCGTTTTGGTGTCCAAATTTTGATTGATTGAAATCTACCAGAAATTTCAAATAGGAGAGTTGAACTGAATCTGAACAGATTGAATTATACTGAGTTAATAAATGAATGGGTTATTAGCTATTTGGATTGAAATGGATTGGACTGAATTAAGTTAAAATTCAGCTTATAATTTAACCCCTCCAATTTTTACTAAAGTTTAATTGTTTTGTTTGCTCTTTTGTAAATTTTTAGTACCGAATAAGTTTTTTTTTTTATTGTGACTATGTATAACATATCAAATTAAAAGAATTTTTTTTAAAAATAAAATTATAAGCTAATGTGAATTACACATCAACTCAATTTTTAATATGAATTAAAATAAATTGGGTTGAATTAAGTTAAGTTAATAAATGAAATCTGCTCAAGAACGGAATAGGGGAGTTTGACAAATTCACTTGATTTTGACACCCCTAAAATCTACCATAATATATTTTATATTTAAAAAATTATTTGAAAGAGTGTATAAAATTAATATTAAATTATAGAAAGTAATTTATGTGTGCCGAGTCAAATGCATCCGATTAATAATGATAGCTACTCATCTCTATTAATCCCAGTTAATCAAAGAAATAGTAACAAGGAAAAGTAGTTTTCTTATTTGACTTTCTATGATTATATTGGTAATAATCTGATAAAAGAAAATTTATTCAAATTATGCTCAATGAATAAAGAACGATCTGAACTTTTTGTACGTATAATAGATATATTGTTCTAACAAAATTGTTTTCATAAGCACTAATACTAAATTTTATAATATTTTGCGTAATATTATCTATGAGGATCAAATAACAAGTTTCGTAGATTTATTACTGAAAATGTTTTTCTTGCATAAAAAATTATGCATGAATGTTAGAAAGAACTATTTTAGTGGTATCCTTTGGAAAATGAAAAACATCATTACTCATATTCACAATATATCAAGCACTATTACTTGGAAGGTTTGACATTTCTACAAGAAAGTTAATCGAGTCGTAAATATTTTAGCAAAATGGTGTATTATTATCAAAAGGAAAATAAAACAAAAAATACATAGATGTATATACATATATATAAAATGGAAAAGGAAATCAATAATCTAAATTCAGTTTTACGTTAATATAATATTGTCCTCATAACTCGAATTTCTATTTTCTTTCATTCCCACAAATTACTAATTTACTAAACTCGTTTTCCTCCTCTTTTTGCTAATCCTGAGCACGTAAATTAATAGAAAATTTACATAAATCCCACTAATTTGGAAGTTAACTACTTAGATATCCTCTAGTTTGTAATATTATATATATCTTATCAGATTTTGGTGCCTTGAAATACATGTATCTCGAATACGTAGGTCAAATTTAGGTGTAATTAGTTCTAGACAGGGGCGGAGCCAGCCTTCTTTTAGGGGGTTCATCCAAATCCCCTTCGGCGGAAGATATTACTATTTATACATGTTTAAAATTATTTTTTATGTGTATATAGTAGATGTTGAACCCTCTTCGGTTAGTCCGTGTGTTTAGTTCTTCAGATTTTTAACCCCCTTATTAAAAATTCTAGCTCCGCCACTGGTTCTAGATACATTGTATCTAAGTGAATTCGCATGTATCTAGGATACATAGCAAATCTCGCTTGCCTTCCTTGCCTTTATTCCATCTCGCTCTTCACACTTACATGTATCTGATATCTCAGATTATATGTGAATCACTTTTTAATGTATTATATATATATAACACAATTAACATATAACACTATATCTTTTCCAAAAAAAAAAATATTTCAACTTTTTCTGGATAATTTTTTGTTTTGAAATAATCTCATTAACTAATATATATATATATATATCAAAAGAAGAAGAAATAAAAGGGAAAAGAAGAAAAGGAATAACAATGGAAGAAATAAAGAAAAAAATTAAAATAATGTAAGCTTGTCTATAGAGGGCTGTTGCACTAATTAACCATCTACGCTACACATACTTTTGAATCAAAATTTATCACAAAAATTTATATATATCTCAATCTTTCTGCTGTATTTTTAATTATATATACATATTTAGCAATTTTTTTCGATGAAGTCGTGTCCCGTGAGTCGTGACACCCCTTAGGTATTACTAGATCCGCCTCTGCGTACGAATCTCGCTTGTCTCTCTCCTTATTTTTGTGTATCTGATAGCAAAAATACATGTATCTAAGTGTAAAATACGTAGCAAAACTTTTAATTAATGGTAAAATACGTAATATTTTTAAAATATAGATAATAATAATATATATAGTAATGACATACTGAAATATATATGTCTCATTATGTAGTTTTAACAAAATTAAATTAATCTAAATTGTGGTTGGTTTTTGTTCTTCCTGGACTTCAATGATTTATTGCCAAGTTGTCATACATTTATAAAGTAATTGAATTCCACTTTAATTCTTAAAGTTAAAAAAAAGAAGAAGATAATATTCAATAATTGAACTCTGGGACCATCTTCATGGACGATTCCATCTAACGACTTTGACATTTTAATTGAAAAAACAATTAAGTATTAGCATTAACTTAATCACCGACAAAAGTAAAATTACTAATGTATTTATAAGATCCCATTAATTAGTTAAACTAAATTAATAATTTTTTAATCGTCCTAAGATTAAGGGATATGGATGTATAAACAAGTACAGATCTAGTCTACATTGTGATTACCGACATACTTATATTAGACAAATACTTGTCTTAACCAGTCAAACATCTTCTATTCTCTTTCCTTTACTCTTTTTTTAAAAAAAAAAAAAAAAAAAAAATTGTGTAGGTAGGTTGCTTTTTTTTATTTTAATAAATCTAATTTTATTTTAATAAAAAATCTAAATTTTTTTTTATTATTATTACTGATTATTTGTTTAATCATTTTTATTTTTTAAACTTTGTTTTAGGAAATTCAATTATTAAGTTCTTGGTGAGCAATTTATTCAACTGAGTGAGGCTAACATGTCTTAACATTTTACGCCTAAGAAACGAGTTATTGTATATTCGTTATTAAAAAATCACTATTTTTTCATTAAAAAATGGTCACCAGCTATTTATACAAAATAAAATTAGTAAGTTTCTAATCTATTTTTACCATACATTTTTAGCTGGCTTTGAGGTAAAATAAGTGTTTTTTTTAACCTTGTTGCCTCTTTCAAACATTTGTTCATATTCTATTAAAGACAAGTATTCTCGTCACATTCAGTCTAAAGATAATCTTTTTCAGGTTACTCAATATCAATCTGAATTTTACTAATAATGTCCTTATCTTTGAAATAAACTTACTTTTAATTTTGTAATTCTAATTCTATAGGAGTTAATTTTTCAGATGGTCACTCAATTAGTAGTTATTTTTATAGGAAGTCATTCAACTTTTTTTTATAATACCAAAGTCACTTAACTAAGAATTTTTCTCACAAAAAATCACTCAACTAAGCCTCGATTTCTTCTCACATAAAATCGCTCAATTTTCTTTTATAATCTCAAAATCACTCAATTTGAATATTTTACCTACAAAATCACTCAACTAAGCCTCGATTTCTTCTCACATAAAATCGCTCAATTTTCTTTTATAATCTCAAAATCACTCAATTTGAATATTTTACCTACAAAATCACTCAACTATTGATATTTGACTTAGAAAGTCACCCAATAAATTTAAATAATTTTTCATTAAATTTTGTTGAAATATAATTTTTATTTTAAACTATTTTTTTTAAAAAGAAAAATTATAAGAAGTTTAATTATACGAATTAGTTCAGTTCACATTCCGTACACATAAATTTCAAAACTAAAATCTAAAGAATCAAATCGAAGTTTAATAAAATCGAATCCAAAAAACGAAGATCCGCAAACGCGGAGGATCGAATTGTTGACTATGGGGAACTCTGGATGTGGTCTACAATCATTTAATTTTGACTGAGAGTAGACCTCATTATTTATCAGTCTTAGAGACATGTAGCATGTGGGTGATGTCAAAATGGGTGGATGTCATCTTATACGTATCCACGCGATGTGTGGAAATTTTAAAATATTATTTTAAATTATTTTAGATTATATTAGTAATATTTTGTTTAAGTTTCTTAAATCATATTATCTTACAAAAATTTGATAACGAATTATGTGATTATCAAATAATTTTTTATTTCATTACCGTAAATGGACTATTATACTTGAATTTGATTGAATTATAACCGTAAGTACATGAGATTCGTTGGTTATTTGAGTATGCTATTATCATAAGTTTTCAAAGTTTTTTTTAAAAAAATCGTGTTAAATCAAACTACATTATATATATTCAAAGGAAGTAGTATTTTGTGTTTCTAACAATATTTTCTCGATCCATTGCTTTCCCATAGTATGCTAACATGGGAGCCACTTGTAGATGTTTCATATATATATAGATGTAAATAATTCTATTTGAAAAAATTGTAAATTTTGTGTTCACATCAAAATTAAATAACTTTATTTTAGTACTTAAAATATCACCACATAAAATGAAAACAAACGTAATATTGTGATGAGAAATTAAAACATATATAGGAGTAGTAATAACTTATTTTATTCATCTCATAATTAATCTCTGCATTTTGCAAGGAGATTGAAACTGAGCAAACATACACAAAGACATAAAAGTAAAATATAAAAATAGAGTACAAAACAATATCACTAAGACACTAACTTAGATACATGAAGCTACAAAAGAACTTCGTCTTCTGTAAGCCTTATTATTTATTACTATAACTATAATTTTCTTCTTTTTTCATTGTCTCTTGAAAATGGAAAATGCCTTTCTTTCAGCTCAACATTCTGCTTTTCCTGCATAAGAATATAATATTGTGAATGAGAACATATAAATAAAAGAAGCTAACCAAATAAGAAGTAAACAAACATAAGTCTTTTTATTAATGTTTTGCATGAAGAAATAATTGTTCAACTTATTATTGCATTGCATTTTAGTTAAATGTTTCTAAAGGTTTAAGTTCATCTTAATTACCTCAGATATAATGAAGTCACTTCTTAGTAATGGTAGGGAGGAGGGGGAGAGGAGTAAACATAGTGGGTTGGTGGTGGAGACTTGTAGACTGGAGTTGGTGGTGGTGGAGACTTGTATACTGGTCTAGGATGGTATGGTGTTGGTGAAGGATGGTATGGTTTTACTGGTGGTGGTGGGGACTTGTAAACGGGAGTTGGGGGTGGTGGAGACTTGTATACTGGTGTAGGGTGGTATGGTGTTGGTGAGGGATGGTATGGCTTCACTGGTGGTGGTGGGGACTTGTAAACGGGAGTTGGGGGTGGTGGAGACTTGTATACTGGTGTAGGGTGGTATGGTGTTGGTGAGGGATGGTATGGCTTCACTGGTGGTGGTGGGGACTTGTAAACGGGAGTTGGGGGTGGTGGAGACTTGTATACTGGTGTAGGGTGGTATGGTGTTGGTGAGGGATGGTATGGCTTCACTGGTGGTGGTGGGGACTTGTAAACGGGAGTTGGGGGTGGTGGAGACTTGTATACTGGTGTAGGGTGGTATGGTGTTGGTGAGGGATGGTATGGCTTCACTGGTGGTGGTGGGGACTTGTAAACGGGAGTTGGGGGTGGTGGAGACTTGTATACTGGTGCAGGATAGTATGGCTTCACTGGTGGTGGTGGGGACTTGTAAATGGGAGTTGGTGGTGGTGGAGACTTGTATACGGGTGCAGGATGGTATGGCTTCGGTGGTGACTTGTAAACTGGAGTTGGTGGTGGTGGAGACTTATAAACTGGTGTGGGATGATATGGTGTTGGTGGAGGATGGTATGGCCTCTTGGGTGGTGGTGGCGACTTGTACACTGGAGTTGGTGGTGGTGGAGACTTGTATACTGGGGTATGTGGTGGGTAGTGTGGCTCTTTGGGTGGTGGTGGAGACTTGTAAACCGGAGTTGGTGGTGGTGGTGACTTGTAAACTGGGGTGTGTGGAGGGTAGTGTGGGTCCTTGGGTGGTGATGGCGACTTGTAAACAGGAGTTGGAGGTGGTGGAGACTTGTAAACGGGATGATGATGGTGTGGAGGAGGAGACTTATAAACTGGGGTGTGTGGAGGGTAGTGTGGTGTCTTAGGTGGTGGTGGCGACTTGTAAATAGGAGTTGGAGGTGGTGGAGACTTGTAAACGGGATGGTGAATATGGTGTGGTGGAGGAGACTTGTAAACTGGGGTGTGTGGAGGGTAGTGTGGCTTCTCAGATGGTGGTGGAGACTTGTAAACGGGATGATGATGGTGTGGTGGAGGAGACTTATACACTGGATGGTGGGGTGGTGATGGATAGACATGCACTGGTGGTGGAGGAGATGAGTATTGATAATTTGCTGAGCTTTCAGAAGCTAAGCTAAGTGACACTAAAACAACTAAAAGAGTGGCAACTAGAGAGGCCATTTTCCCCATATTTGAAACAAAGATGAGAAGTTGTTGTCCTCTTAAGCTTCACTCAAACCCCTTTATATAGCTTTCATTTAGACATTTACCCTTTTCAAGAATTTCATTGATTAAGGTAAAAGACTCAATAGAATACTTAAAACCTACCAAAAAGTTAAAAAGCATTTTGATTTGGTTTTGTCATGTTGTCTGCTCAATTTGACTTGAGTAATTGGTATACTTTATTTGTTGGATAGAGGCTGCAAGCTAAGCAAAAGAATAAACTATTATGGCAGCTATACTATTTGTGATGCAATAATTCAAAGAGATAGAAAGTCTTCTTTTTCGTCCTATCTTTTTAATAGTATATAGTATAGTACTTAAGCTTTTAAAAATATGTGTGGATCCATGATCTTAGTAACAGAAATGCAGAACATCTTGTTATTTTATATGACTCTTTTTTTTCCTTTTCCAATTGTGTCCTGAGTTCGCATTGGAGTCCTTACTGAATTCAAATCGCACACTATAAGATCCATTCGAAGGGTGGTGCTCCAAACAGAATTTTCTCAATACTCAGGACTTAAACTCGAAACCTATGATTAAAGGTGAAACAGTCCCTCCACTGCACCATAACCTGTTGGTTTTATATGATTATGTTCATCATAAAACAAAATTACTATTAAACATAATTGTACCAATTTCACATGCTTCATGAATTAATGTTAAATAGAATAAAGTTAACTTTCATCATGGTTAGTGTCAATCTTTGTGTTGTTGAAAAGTTGATTTTCATCAATGATTAATTAGTAGTAAATTAAGATTTGATTCATCCCTCTAGTAAAGAATAGGACACATGGATAGGAGAAAATAAGAAGAATTACTGAATTTATGGCATTCTGATGAGAAACATAATTGTACCAGTATTTCCTGCCAATAAAATAATAATTGTACCAATTTCCTACCCAAAATAATAATAATTGTACCAATTAATTCTTTTGTATTCTCACTGTTTAAATAACCTTCACATGTGCTTCAAGAAGCATGACAGTGATCTTTTAATCTGTCCTTTCTCTAGGCTCTAGCTATAATAACAGAGAGAAAAAAAAGTACATTACATTAAGATGATAAATTGATCAATAAAAGTGATAATATACAATAAAAAAAAAAAACCATTAAGCATTTTCAAGGTGATTTTTCAATTAAAATAAAGAATCAATATATTACTTGACTTCAATCATGAACCCCAAAGTCAGTGGCAGAGCCAATATTTCTAGCGAAATAATTTAAATGTATATACGCTTGGCCATATTCCAACTTAGGGATGATAAGGGGACGGGGCGGGTTTAAGGCTTTACAGGATGATTTTAAGCAACGGTGAATTCAGGATTTTTATTCAGGGGGTTCGAAAAATAAAAATATAAACGTGTGAATAAGCATGTTTGGATATTTTTGGTTTAAATCTACTCTTTAAAAAAAATGTGGAAGATTGGTCCTGAAACTAAATGAAGAGAAGGTAAAAAAAATAAAAATGACCACAATGGGATTCTAACCCTGAACGTGAGGTCAGTCTAAAAGGAGATCTACACTAAGCTAGTTCATGAATTCAGAAAATTTACCTTATATATACAGTGTAATTTTTTGTTGAGGGGGTCCGGATGAACCCCTGAAGACCACATGGGTCCGCCCTGATTTTAAGGTTGTGCGGGGCAAGGAGGATTGGGGCGCGGGTTGAAATGGATTTTTTAAACTTTAAGGTGGGGTGGAGCGGGTTACAAGTCTATGCGGCTTAATGCGGGTTCAAACTTAATTTTAATTTTTTACATGTTATAAGAGTGATAAATCATTATTTATTAAGATAGTTCATTTCTTTAAAGTTACTAAAATATTCAAAATAGTAAATAAAAATGGTTCAATCAAAAGTAATATGGTTTCTTACATGCTTCCCAATTGACCTCTACAAAATAAAATTTTATGTCATTATCTATTAAATTAATACAACTTAATGAGAAAATAAATTTATTTTTATGTATTTTTATTTTTAGTATCAAACTTAATTAAAAAAATATTAAAAAAATTATGTGGGGTGGATTCATGCGAGGCGGATCTATGCGGGGTGGGATGAGACGAATTGAAAATGAAAAAAATTATTATACATGACAAAGTGGAATAGGTAAAAAAAATTACGGATTAAGCTCAATCCAATTCATACCCACCCAGCCCCATTACCATCTCTATCCCAACCACACTCCCCAACATGGAAGGGAGTGGGGGGATTTTAGCATTTTTACTAGGTCATTTACAGAGAGTTAAATCTACAGAAGACAAGAGAAAAACTATGCATGTGGCCCATTTTCAGTACCAAATAAAGCAATTTGTTCTTTCTCTTTTTATAGTAGAGAAGGCAAGAAATTCAACGATCGATATTTTGTAGCTCAATATTGAAAAAGTTTATGTGATTCAACTAAGATATATTTTTGAATTTTAGTATATCGTTATAAAAATATTTAGTGACAATTGAGTTAATGTCATTACATCAGAATCACTAAATAAAACTTTTAGCGGCATTTATATAGAGTGTTTCAGTTATAAAAACTCATATTTAATATAGCAATGATTATATTATTACCTATAAATAATTGAGATAAAATATTTTATTTGTTAGTGTTATCATCGTGGGAAGTACAGATGAAGATGTAGAAAAATTCATGTTTAAGCAATGGACTAAAGTTGAGAAAAGGTATCCAAAAGCCCAAAAAAAAAAAAGGAAAAATGGAATCCAGAAGGATCCAGACATATACAACATGTATGTTCAAATTATGGTAGGCAAATACATTTAAGTATTACACAATCATATTATTATAAAAAATAATTATCCAGGAGAGAGGAAAGAAACAAGGTAATATAAAAAAAAACTGAAATTAGCTTTAAACTATATTGCTAAATTGCTCTTAGCTAATAAAAAAAAAAAAAACTCATCGCTGAATAGAATTAACACTGTATTTTACTATTTGGTGATAAAATTTATCTAGTGTTAATTCTTGTGTTTTAAAGTGTTATTGTGTGAGGATAAACATTTATCTTGAAAAGAGGAGGAAAAAGGTTGTAACAACTTTCTGAGAAAAGAAAAGATCCCATATCACTTGTATAATAATTATTGATTCCTATACTATCATTGGTGGAAGCTTATTAGGACCTTAATTTTCAAAAGCATAATACATTTTTTTTATATTTATAGTAATTTGTCGAAGGAAAAATCTAATAAAAGGAAGCTTCCAAGTTCCACCCTTAACCAATAGCCTATTGTATTTGAAATAAAAGGAAGCTTCCTCCTTAACAAAAATGAAATAATAAATTTTATCGCTAATATATCGCTATAAATTTTTTATTGATAACTATCAATTATTTGTTGCTAAATAAGATTAATGATAAATCTTGTTACTTAAAGTTATAGAATTCGTCTGTCGCTAATTCTTAATTTTAATGATGTGAAATATTTGGACCCTTTAGAATATGTATTTTCAAAGATTGAAATTTTAAAATTCTAAACAATAGTGGCTCATAACTGAAAATTTGACTAGTCAAAAGGAGAGAGGACAATCAATTCAACAAGAGATGAAGCAACATTTAATTGTTAGGGTGATTTGCAGATAGTGGGGAGCCAAAAGTTTTACGATGCTACTAGTGAGATTCGAACACATAAACACTTTATGTTTGTGTATTTTTGCTCTTTCAAAACACCTAAAACCACTAGTCTACATCATATTGTTGTCTATCAACCTAGTTTAAGGCTAAAGTGGTGGACTATACTTTTATGAGAGTCTTCTATTTAACTAACGTACGCCTTTTTCATCTCTCACATATCTTTATTTTAGAGTTGGAAATAAAGATTGGACACCGAATCATAGTAATTTTTCAGCAAGTAATATGTTTTTGCTTCAAATTTTAGTTGAACACAAACTGCTCCAAATTAGATATTCAATTTTCTAGCTAGCTAGTTCCAATCTCAAAAAAATTTAGTTGTTAGATTCTGTAAGGCCCCATGAATGCTTGAAGACTATATAATTAATAATTTTTGTGCTTAATTATATTGATAGTTAAATAGACTCCAAAAAATCTGCAGACTCACACGAGAGTGAAAAGACTAGCTATATAAAGAAAGTGACCATATATTTGTTGTGTAATTTAGAGAAAGTTTGAGACACTAGGAGTAGACCTAGTGACGAAATAAAATAAAATAAAATATATGTCTTTGAAATCGTTACTCACGCCTAAAATGTTCCAAGAGCTTAGTACTCAAGAGGGGGAAAACAGCGAGCTCTTTCCATCACATTTCTACCATCTCCAGACATAGAACGAGTAAATAATTAAATTCGAGCTAGCCAAAAATATAAATTTCTAAGAAAAGGACAAGTTAAAATATGATGAAGGCACACAAGGAAACCAAGGCCCCAAGTAGTGAACAAAGGTTAGCCCACAAGTTAATTCAAAAGATTATTTAGAATGAGTTGGTCAATTGAGATGATGCCACTTATGAATAATTTGGTGTATGATATGATTGAAATTATTTGGGGTACACATCTTGATTTATTAGACAACTTATTGACCCACAAAACTACTACTACACTGTCCTTTTCCATGTGGCGGCATTTTGATCATAGTTTTTTTTTTTCAATATCAAGAGAAATTCGAATTTTTATGTGTGTTTTAATTTTTGAAAAAAGGTAAAAATATCTCTAACATGTACTTTTAAAATTGTCCTTCCATTTACTAGACCTAAATTATTCTTGACGTCAATTTTCATGTTAAAAGTGCTCTTTCTTTTTTTACGTGTAAGTGTAAAATAAAATACCAAAAATTTTAACAATTTTAAATATAAGAAATTGAATTGTTTTTAAAATAATTAAAAGAATATCACATAAAGTAAAATAAAATAAAGTAAGTATTGTTTTTATATTGGTTTTGCAATCTCCATTCGCCGAGTCAAGCATCCAATCAATATTGATAGCTACTTATTTCTAACCCCAATTTTTTTTCTTAACAAAGAAATAGTAACACTCAAAATTATACTTTAGTC